TGAGCCCTTATCATTAATATTCATCGTCGCGCGTTCATAATACGCACTGCAGATGGAAACTATCAGAGTCAGAACCTGTCGACAGCTTCTGTTCAATCAAAAGACAGCGAACTATTTTTAGCTGAATGAAGAATTTCCATAAAAGAGTGAGTATCTAATGTGATAATATCATAAACCAAAGATACGCCGATGAACCACGTAACTGTCTGTAATGGGACATTTTTTCAGTATAATTTATCCAAAAAAAAAAATAAAAGTTTGACAATTAAAACTGCGAGCAAGAATTATGTTCAAACAAAAATTCAACTATAGTAGATAATGGCTGTGTGTAACGTACCTGCCAAATGTAAAAAAAAGTTTCTCCGAAGACCAAGACTACACAGGCCTTACATTTAACAGTTTTTTTTTTTTTTTTTTTAACCATGCTATTGTTAATCAAGTATCGAGGGAGAAATGCAATAGCAGTTAACAGAAAAAAGCCATATTGTTGTATATCATCACCATATACTAGCCTAATACAACTCGTCGCCGAAGAGCAAATGTAACCACTTTAGCTAACCACTTTTAATTATTTATTACGAAAAGTATTACTTCGACGCTAATGCGCGATAACATTGGCCGTATATTGCAACCGCATATGTCAGAGAATACTGGCTGAATTCCGCTGACAACCTATGTACAATAATGCGTACGTTTCTGTAACATTCTGTTCAACTCGGAAACTTCGATTGTGGCTGATTGTAGGTCGCGTGCTCAAAGTCGTTGTTTGTTTCCCGTTTCCATGCGACTCGATTTAGTGTTTTTGTGTATTCCCCTGTTTCTAAAAGCTTATCCACTCTATCCCCCAACAACAAGCGTCGTTAAGCATGGGCGTTTTCAGCGACCATTCGTATCACCCGCCTGAATCTCATGATGACCGTATGTCATTCCCGCAGTCCCAGCTGCGTCGCGGATGCGCTTGCTACAAATGATGCACAGGCAATGGCACCAGCAGTCCCAAGAGCTCAACTTGGAGACATGTGTACAGAAGCAAAGCGCAAAACAGAGATAGTCTAAGACCCGTCGCCACCGTTGCTGCAGCAAAACTGGTAGGAAATTGAAGTAGTGATAGTAATGGCCGTCCTTCGTCGTACGTTATCGTATACATACATACAATGATTCTGTCTACCTTCGAGCCGCAATGAGTATATGCCTACACTGTATTTGGTTGGAGAAGCCGTGCTCCGCGACTTTGCACTGTGCTGAGTGTATTCGTACGCGTGTGGGGCGACGCCGCACCCTCGACCGAACGAATGGGGCCCAGAGCAGGCTGATAGCAGCCGAGCAAGCCAACGATCACATAGGTAGTCGGCTTGTCATGCCGACCTGCCTGCTAGCTTGATCAGATAAACGGCAATGCAACAATGCCGCCAGCGCCCGTTCCATAACAGAGCACTCTGGAGTGATAGCGTGAAGTAGCGTCGGGTCCGGTCGCCACTGTGGTCATCAAGATCGACGTCAAGATCGGCGGCATTAACAGCACGAGCAGCAAAAAACACTACTATCTTTCATCGTTCCCCAATGAATCTCTGCTGTTGACTGCATTTGCGAAGTTGGCGCGATGACTCCGCACAACAAGTGCTTCGTTTCGAACGTCGTTCATGGTCACGAACGTCGCTATGGAGAAGAATGAAAGAAGACAAGAAGAGTACATGTATGCGTGGAAGAAGATGGCGCAAGGATCTGAACAGAGAACTGGTCAGTGAGAATAAGGCGGTATCGCCAAAAAACGTCCTCGAAGCCAGCAGATTGGCACGGCTGATTGATGCGAATACAATAGTACTATGCTATTTTCCAAACGGCACTAGGTACACCGACTGGGATGCCTGAGGGGAACTATGCGCTAAAGAATTCGATACCGACTCGCGCAAAACCGATTAGTGGACCACGATCGAAACAAACGTTCAAACAGCTACACACAGCCTTAAGGAGAGCATCGAATTTTTTCATTCTTACGCAGACCACACATTGGTGCTGCAATGTTATCAGAGCTCGCAATGCTACTGAAAACGGCTAATCCCTAAGTAAAAAAGAAACATTGACATTTATGCGTGCCGTTAGCGTTCGAATCGAGTGCTTTATAGATATTTACGGTTAACGGACTCAAACCTCAAGCGGCGACGTAACACAAATGGCGCCAATCCAGTGGTTATTCTGATGTCGCACTGGACAAGCTTTAACTATCTTGTTGATTATTATTTGCTATTTACTTGACAATAACACTGTTATTTGCTTCTAGCGTGGTTGGTGGCTTCGTACAAAAAGCGTCAATTATCCGCCCCGTATCAGCCCTCTGATCAATCGGCGACATACAGCTACTGGCAAGGAACAAGGCTCCTGATGAGGTTGAATGCATCGTGGGACGTCGAAGCTCGATCACACAGTGGGACGCGGCTAGGCGATCGTGCTTCGGGCAGGAAAGAAGAATAGTTTAGAGAAAATTATAGGGGATATGACAGAAGACGGCGGTAGTTACAACTCTGACTCTACATTGCGTAACAGACGACTGAGCGACATGTGGTGTGGGTGTAGGCGATACCGTTGGAACAGTTAGAGAAGACAGCTTTCACTGAAATAATCATTGCGTGACGTGCGCTTTACATTCCTATCTAGGACTAGAGAATACGCGTGCGTACAAGACACAAGGACATCTGAAGGTTATCATAACAGCTACGCTTGTCGCAAGGTCTTCAAAAATCGCTCAGCGGTTCACTGCACATTGGTGAACAATGATCGTTAAGGTCCTGTTCACTAGCTCAGTCAGTGAAGATCAGTTAGATTGAAAAAGGCTAGGTCTTGTCATTGCACGCCGTTTGCAATGGCATGCAATGACGCCCGCCCCATTCATTAATGTCTGAAAGGGGCGGGGGTCGACTCGAAAAGAGTAAAGCAGCCCTTTGTAAGGCAATCGAAAATATTTGGCGATAGGACGGCCAAACTTCAGGAAAGGGAGCTACGAAGCTTTTAATTTGCTGGAAGCTTCCAAGAACCTCCGACTATCAAAAATGTCAATAATATTCGAAAGAAGTTCCTTTAAGACCCATGAGAAATTCACACGCCTGCGCTTTGTGTTCGGCTCCGTTGACCATTTGATACCAAGACGATTTAGATCTAGAATCACCAATCAAATGACGAGCAATTAGGGTATGACTTGAAACATTGTGTTCATATTTGATTTTCTAAAAGTACCACGATCAATTGGTACGTCGCAACTGTCCTCTTTATATAAACGATGATCTAATATAAACGAATCCTAGTGATAGCATGCAACTAAATGGGTCTGGGTCAGTTATGAGTTGTTAGTTAATATTAGTGATGCAGGGCATAAACGCGGTTTTGTCTTAGATATATCAATACCTCTGAGCGGTTGCTTGCAATTCTCGCTGTCTAAATCTGATGCCTGAGCATTTTAAGGTAATGGTGGATCAAGCAGTTGTCATATCTTTTACGGTACTCATATCAACCGCCATGTTACATATGGTAAATTTTTTAACGATATCCACGTTGCAATACCGCCTGTTTCCTACAGCCACTGAAAGGTGTTCGACCAACAATATCAAGTTCAACATAGCATCTCATATTAATACTTTGCAAAAGCCACAAAGAAGGGAGAAAACAGAAATAGTGATATACTACGACTATAACTGTTATCCGCGATTTAATAAAAAATGAAATGTTCCCATAAATCGGGTGGTATTTTTATGTTAGGCCCCATTTAAATGATCTCTCCCTCCTTTCGCAGACGGTTATAGCCGTCAGCTGTTCTAATACTATACCAAGCGAATTCACAGACACAGTGTGCAAACTTATTCTTGCAGAGTCGGTTTTCCAACGCCCAGAAGCAGCGTAGATGCCGTCTTCAAAAGTTGCATAACATACAACTTAAAACAATAACAGCAGAACTAAAAATAGCATCGATAATATGATGGAAAAGAAAAATCTCTTTATGTTTTCTCTTTTTATATTGTCTCGTCATCTCGTAGTGAGTATAATTTTTGTAGATATTTTTTTTACCAATTGTTACTTTCAGTCTAGACCGCAATTCGTGCCTGACCTATTGTCGTTCTTTTCATTTCGAGATAATTTCAAGCAGATCCTCGTGCGACGAAGGTGAATATATATTTTCGATGAACGAAAGAAAAACGAACTGGGACCTTTGCGTCACTCTTTGCGCGACCACCACAAAATGGTCCCGTCAAATAGGACTGATGCTATAACAGAAGGAGACGTCTTATGCTATATATATATGGATCCAGAAATACGCGAACCGCGGAAAACTATAGTGCATGTGCACTATAGTTTAGACAGATGTAAAAGCAACAGAGACGGACGGATTTTTGGTACTTTACATTTGAAGTTATGGGTGCAGGAATTGAATACCGGCGAATATCTGGTTTGATTGTACAAGAACAGAAAAAATAAGCGGTGACCGAATAAGTGCGTATTTGCCAACGCTGCAATTGTCACCCTATTCATCAGCATCTTTAGAAATCTGTATAAAGTAAATAGCTGTATGCCGCATTGTATCTAAGTATTTCAGAAGAATCAATTTGTCTGATTCGTGACCGATCGTATGGCAAGCAATGTAGTTTTCGAAATAAATACGTTCACCTGATAGCTTAAATAAGATAAACTAAAAAACAATTGTGTATAATTACGACTTGTTTCGAAAATGATGTGTTCATTTTGATAAGCGACTATATCAATCGGCTTACTCAATAAGAGACATGACGAATAATGAGCGTACTCCCTACTATAGACATCGACATTCAGTTTAAGGCACAATGCTTGTTATCAGCAGGCCACCAGTGGGAGGTTACTATTACAGCAACGTTCACGGCCCGGATAGAGATCTATGGAACCAGTATGAAAATAACAAACTTCGGCTTCAAATTTAAGTATGATCTTGAACTACATAAACATCTTTAAATTTTACAAGTTTAATTCGTGACTGTACTTACGATTCGTGCTGACAAATAATCATACATTGATCTGTAGGATTATCTACAATTTATGCTGCGCACCTGACTCGTGCCATTTCGGGTAATCTACCAATAGCCATATTAACGTATCCTTTCAGAGCATCCGTTCACAAACGAGTTTCCTTCAATTCAGCTGTGACGCAAGGAAAAGCGTTAACCATCAGATTTTTCCCTTTTACATTTACACTATTCTTGAAGGCTCGTCGGAGGGAAGGAGAGTCGTACCTATTTTTTTTGCGTTTTTTGTCACCTGCAGAAAAAACACTCGTTTGAATTTGTTGATCAGGCTCATTTAGCGAAAGCCGGGAAGTCTCCTATAGGAGCTTCAACGGCGCACCGAGCCACTCCTCATTTAATGACGTTATCCAAGCATTTGTGTGCTAAATTTTAAGTTTCTCGTACAACTTCATAGATACGTGAATGTTCGCTGCTGTCTATGTATTCATTTCAATGTAATCACTCTACTTCTTGTATCCTTAAATCAAACAGCAAAGCACGACTGAAAAATGAGTAGATGAACTCTCTCTTCTTCGACGAAAACGAGTGAAGTAGACTGGGCTTCTGTGCTTCGTCCCCAGTGTTACCCTCTCAGTTAATCGGGTCGATGCTTTTCCAAATGCACATACGACTGGGTCGTTTGGTTGGGTCGCTGTAAAACCTACCCACGGGCCACCTGTGTCATCACCTGGCAGCGACTGCTGTGCTAAAACAGTTATCAGAACAACACGTAAACGTCGCGTTACATCTCACCTACACGGTTAACCAACACACAGCTAAGGACATAAAACTATCGAAAATCCTTTCTAGCGCAATGAGATTGTATACAGTTCACGACTGGACTTCGACAATCGGTCCAATCCTCGCCTAGTAGGTTAAAAAGAAATGGCCTGCGTCTTGTGATTACAATAATCCGTAGGGTAAAACTCGCTGAATTTTCGCTCACTTTTAGAGGTATTATGCCTTCCGCTTTAAGAAGAAATTCCCTTCCGTCACAATAGCGTGGCACTACGTAGACTATAAGGTGAAGCCTCCTAACGTTTTTTCTGTTGTCCTTTCTAGCTGTAATATGGATTATTTTTCATCAGCATTATCCGAGCAACAGCGGAACTCATGAGCAGAACTCTATGGGCACATGGACGGCTCATAGCGGAGCGGTAGATCGTCTTCCACCATTAAATGCTCCTTTCTTCGTTCTTGTCGATAGCGATATGTCTCTTTGGAGAGGTCGTTGCTGTTGTGCCGGGTAAACTGCGGCCTCCTAGCTTCTGTTGAGCTCACTATGGCTGTGCTTCATGCGGCTATAACTGTTGCTGCTCCTTCTTCTGATGTTGGTGCTTTTGACGCCACGACTGTGGCAGGCGGCGACTCTACTCCGCTGCGTCTCTACTTTCGACACGCTCCAGTCGCCGACATCGGACCAACAATACAAGCGAGTTGGCTGTGCGTTTACGTTGTGGTCTATATGCAGCAGTGTCAGCAAGCTGTCGTAGCTATATACAGGACTATAGCTGGTTCTGTTGCTGTTGTTGTTGGTGTGTCCGATCTCACGTGTGTGTAGGAGCGTATGCGTGTGTGTAAGCGTTTCCTTTCTTCTTTCGTTTGCTGTGCCGAAACCAAACTATTACCACTAGCGCCAATGGTATTACTATAACTCTCTTGAACACTCGAGGGTAGAGTAGACGACGGAACAGAGCTGGCTGGGTGGCTGGCTGACCGCAGAACCAGCTTGTTACACGCCAGCAGCTGGCGCGGATGCGGCCGCGCTGAGGCCCACCGCGCCACCATCCGAACGCGCCAGCCCTCTCCAATATCCCTCCCATCGACGAGCGTTTTTGATCGCCGAGCGCCATCTGTCGGCAGTCGGCTGAACGCTGCGCGTTTTGCTTATGGTCGTTGAGGGAGTTGGACTCAACGTTGGAAGTGTACCTGCTTTTATGAAAGAGACTCACGCCGATTTAAAGACAAACTATTGTGTTTATGTCAGCGGCTAGCTATCCATGCTCTAGACATTCACAGAAAGGATGCATCGTCATGGTCACTACCGCCGCTACCACCACCACGCGACGTGCGGTAACCACTCGCGAGTTTGCAGGAAACGCCGATGTACGTCCACAGTGACAACATTTCGGTGGAATCACAAAGAAGCGTTATATGTGGTTTACGCATGTTTATGGAGATGTAATATCGCTCTATTATGTGGTTGGGCGAACAGATAATGTCTTGAAAAAAAAAAATGACCAGAAGGTTTCAGATCAAACATGGGCTTCTAAGTCATAGTGACATATACGGCCTTTGCTGCTGTTATTTACAGTGTATGTAATCTTCTTAGCTTCTCCAGATTCCCAGAATCTCTTAGTTCCAGATAACGGACTTGAATCGGACATGAAGGCTTGGTCAGTCGCGTTTGGAGAGCTCAATGGAAATAGCATAATTAAATGAGAGAATCTAAAACGCCTGATATCGCAACTGTGCGTCGCTAGTAGGTATTTAAAAGGGCTATTTCTAGCCCCCCAAAAACGTCAAGCTCTACGCACTAATAAGGCCTAAAATGATGGCTTTTACTGCACTATAAGTTCCATTATCTATCTGACTTGCCTTATGGTACTGTTAATTCTCGAAGAGAACTCAAATACGCAAATTGGTTAGTGTATGATGTAGCCTTAGAAAGTTGCGACACTCTTGAAATAATACGCTGTTTTATCCTTTATGGCTCTCTTATCTTCTTACGACTAATAAAATTATTTTTTTAGTTTACTTAAACTTGTAGCAGACTTTTGTCTACATTCCCCGACCCCAGCTAAGCATGAAATCGGAAAAACCAGATCAAATCTGATTATTCAGTTAGTTTCGTGTGTCAGTATTCCACTTAACAGCCGAACGCAGTCATCGTCGCAGTGGTTGGTTTATACACATGGTTGAATCGGAGAACAGGGGCCTGACGCTGGCTGACTGGGTAGGGGGCTTATTTTCGATTTCGGTGTCCAACCAAGGTTAGGCCACGGACAAACAGAAGCAACAAGGGCAGTCAAAACAACGGCTCCGATCGAAATCAATGTGTGATTATGACCATGGCGACGGGTTTGCTTCCGAGCACACGTACTTTTCAGAGGGAAATTGAGCGTAGAGTTTTTGATGTTCCTTGTTACCAATTTCTCAAAAACTCATAGGTGAACATTGACGCCGACGGCCTGCTTGATTCGTGCTGAAACGGTGATTGTCAAGGGGTTTGGCTCATCCAAAAGTACTCCGAAACACTTACATCCATGCCCAACGAATATGCTGGATCTTCGCTCGACACAGAATAAGGATTGAGCAATAAGTGTAGGGGTGTAACTAACATTTCAGTTAATAAGAAAATGAAAAAATAATTACTTTCCACTGGAAAATATCAGGTCGACTTTCCTGTTCTGTGACTTAATATTAGGCTGGTCAGCGACAGAATATTTATTATTACTCTTATATCTCTAATATAAAATATTTTTATACGTTTAATAAGTACGATAAGGTGAACCAGTACTATACTCAAGAATAATTATTAATATTGATTGAATGATCTTTAACGACTAGCACGAAGCAAACCACGGAGATGTGCGGTGCGGTGCGGGGCGTAATAAATATACGACCTGTTTCTACTTGATAGTATTGCATAGCTTGCAGAAGACAGGTAATCCAATTCGTTTATGCTATATATGGCTCCACTTATATTTTCACTGACCCTAAATATAACTGATACTTTTTAATCTGTGGCCTTGCACATATACCTAATTAGAAAAGATATTAACCTATGACAGCTGAAATTTTTTCGCAAATAGTAATACAAGGTTTTGTCCTCATTTGAGCTGAACCTTTCCAGTATGGACACTTGTGTCAAGTACTATAATATTCACTCGGGTTGGATTCGTGCATGTTCTTTCAAGACATATCTAACCATACGGCTTCTTTAGCGCCATGTTGTAGGATGTACGGAGTGACAAAAAATACATATGGATCCTAAAAATGTCTCTAGTACCCCATGAACTAGGGAGTCCTAGTTATCCACATTAGTAATACGATGCCTACACTAGGATCAGTATTTATAAGCACATTGATTTAACATTGCAAAATGCAACATGTGGATATTATTTGCGTTCCTAGAGAAAGTAAGTGACTTCTTTCGTATTTAGCCGAATTGCCTTCATTACCGTTTTAGTTCTATCGTTGGCGTTATATAAGGACGAGATGTAGCTTGAATCGATAGCGTTTGCGCCAGTACTAGGGCCATATATATTTTCCCTATAAGAAATAAATGGGCTAGGGCAATTATGAACGCATATTTTCTATAGCTCATTGACGATTTACTTTTAATGACAAATTGACCTGAAAGAAAGTTCTGCAAAGTTCGTTCAGCTAACGTAACACATGCGCAACTTCAATTCCAAGTCGCTGGACAACAGTATCGATAACTTTAAATTAAGTTCCTATTGAAAACTGATCCAGTTATGTGACATGGATGCGCACAAAAGTATATATGCAGATACAGATACACGCAAGTTATCTCATTGAGTGTGTCGCTTTCCGAGTTTAATTACGCGCTTCATACTCACTAGTGTTATGAAAAAACCGAAAGAGCCGAAGACTGAGATGGTTATTCCAGTACATGTCAACATAGTCTATCGTGTACGTAATCGTCAGGACACAAGGCATAGATTGAGGGTTTATGTTACCTCGCGTCGGAGTTCCTTAGTGTCTGATAATAACAATATTCAACGAGCATTTCCATCTATTTGGCTAATACGATTTTAGCGGGATCATCAGCTTAATCCTATTACTATCACTACGCCGCCAGCTGGTCCACAGGAACAAGTAACCAAAAGAGGTATCATCTGATTCAAAAACGGCATAAGGCGTATAGGCCTACCCTGACAAGTGATAGCCAGATGTTTGCCCGTTGAAGATGTATACTGATTATAAAATAAGTGCTAAGAAAAACGTTCTTCAGGACAAGGAATAATAGGTTGAGGTTTTGACAACATAATGAAAGGAAATATCATTGATTAATATATTGATACGTTGCTACAAAACCTCTCCTAGTCTCTCTTTATCAAAACTCTTGAGCTCGCAGTCCTCATAGTTTTTAGGATTTGCTCAAACTACTGGGTACGTTTTTTAATAAGTGCCACATATTTTTTTAAGGCATTAACTGAAATAAAAGTGCCGATTATAACCATAATTGTAATCATGATGATGAACTGCAGCCATCACTCCTTTGTTGTAACAGTATTTCCGAGCAAACACAGGTTGCTCTCGCAGATCATCATATACATGGTGCTTGAGCTCAATGAAAGCTTGGTTGGCATGACGGTGACTCGAAGGGCTTCAGTTTATTGATTGATATTTGTAAAGTCGCTTCATCAGTATTTGTTGTTTATTGGGTAAAAAAAGGTTGAATTACCCCTTACCATGACGCGACTGAAAGATTACGCTTCTGAAAAAGTAAAGATGTCCAATAACACATATTATTTGTAGCAATGTCAGAACGGGTCAGACATGATAATGCATTTATTCTGCTTTTTCTAGCACGAGAAACCGCCCATTGATTAGCCCAGAGCGATCCGTTCGAGATAAGCTTGAAAGCCGCTGAAAGCTTCCTTGAAAGATGAAAATCTCCCTAGCTAATAACACATACTGTTACTATTGAACATACTTAAGGAACTATTCCGACCTACACATGCGTTCTCTTATATAGGTATATATATCACGGCGAGGCAAATACGGGTACTTATTTCCAATGAGAGCAGTAAATTGAATGTAACGAGTAAAAACGAATGAGAAAACGACGAAGGATAGTCAGTTCACTTTTGCGCCTAACGGCAGAGGCTGGTTTTGCCAGGCGAATATTTGTGCTCATTGATTATGTTCGGGTTCACTACCGGAAAAGGATGCTAGCCGTTTGGCTGTATGGAACCTACCGCGTCGTAACAATCTCCTAGCATATATACAATAGACTGACGCATCCAGATGAAAAAAGAAATTCTCTTCCTCAGTGCCATAAATGGGCACTGATATAGCGTCAATATGGTCGGTTCGGACATGCTGACATAAGCAAATAGCCGAACGCACACAGCCCTAGTGCTTGTTAAGTAAATATAAACAATTATGTCTCGAACATCAGTTTCAGGCAGAGAGCGCAAAGTGTACGGATTACTCGATGGCAAGTTTATATCTTTTCTCAGAAATAATTTTGATCTTGGGAACGTAACACGGATTGGGTGGGTATCGTACATTGTTAGCTTTCGATGTTTTTTGCTAATATAAAAACAGTATTGGGGGGAATTAGGACATATGCGAAACCGAAATGAAAGCAAAGGTTAGTCCTTTTTTAGCAAATTGCTTTCTTTTCAGTAAATTTTTATCAGCTAGATACAAGTTGCCTTTGGTTGGCTGACAGGTATGACTTGTCGTATTTATTATAATCGTTTTTAAAGTTAATTATAATCGGTCACTAAAGTTACGTTAAGAATACAAGCGACATTTGAAAGAACTCTTTTGCGAATGTTTCATAAAAAGAGTCCTGAATTCTCATTACAATGACGTTTCCATGTGAAACGTACTAGGTGGTTTGGGTTTTTTAGAGGACTGACCACCGCAGCACCGTATTACATGTGCAAAAATATAGACGCATGAGACCTGAGTATAAACCGATATAATAATATATGCTTACAC